CGCCTCCAAGTCGGCCCGCAGACGGGGCGGGGCGGGCCCTCCGCTGGGGGAGGGGCGGGCCTAGGCCGGAGTGGGCGGGCCTGGGGGGGGGGGAGCAGCCAGCGGCTGAAGTCTCCGAAATCCACAGCTACACTCAGAGACCCACTTCTTCCTTTCTGCTCCCAGCCTCAAACCATCCTCCTCATCCAAAACAAACAAAACAAAACAACAACAGCAAAAGCCCCCCTTCCTTCAATTTTAAAACTAACTGTCACATTATAGGATTTTTGAGACAAAAATGCATTTTACAGTCAAGGGACACTTTGTCATCGAGAGAGGTGATACAGGTGTGGCCCTCTCGGTGACCTCAGAGGGCTCATTCCCACCGGAAACACCATGCGCTGTTGAATTTTTAATCCGAATCTGGAATCCAAACCGGGATGGGGGGCACATGCCCTGTAATCCCAGCACTCTGCGGGATTCCTAGGGCAAGGGGACAGTGAGGAGTTCAATGCCAGCCTGGGGTACAGAGTGAGACTCTGTCTCAAACAAACACAAAAATAAAAAATCTGGACACCGGACTTGGGAAGCAACAGGGCATTTGCGTAGCATGAGAGAGGCCTGGGTTTCCATCCCAAGGACCACAAACCAACCACCACCACCATCTCAGAGTACATATTTATCATTTTAAACAAAACTAAAGAAAACTCTAATATAGCAGCAAATTTTAATGCAGTATGTACACAGAAGATTGCCTGATATAGACAGGCAGCATAATTAAAGGCTTCAGAAATTGCCAGCCCTCCCAGATCTACATGAGAAAACCCTCAGCCTCAAAACAGTAGAAACACAGCCTGAAACGACAAGAACAATAAGACCAGGTGGTGTCTCGGTGAGGGAGATAAAGCAGTTGGGAAATGCAGATGCAATGTAGGGTGTTCTCTCAATGCCATAGGGTTGAGCTGTCAGTCACAGATCTATCCTAACGCAGTTGGAGAACTGAGCAGAAATAGCCCCAAATGCATAGCAGCCTGCCACAGAGACAGCCAAAGAGATTCGTTCAGACTCTGAATGTGAAGAAACCAGATGCTAAACGTGCATAAACATCACAGAAGGTGATAGTGATTGATGAAACATCACATTTTTCCGAGGAGTTATGATTATAGTTATAATAGCAATTATAGTAATTAAGCTATAGAGAAGGTAACACTAAAGCCGTTAATGTTACGGTAAATTGTAGAATTCTGTGGTGATAGACATCACTGGAACTGTCAATCAGAATCCATGATTTACAAAGAAGTAACCTTTTCCTAACCCTTACCAGTGAGCAGGTAATGATTTCATGTCTACCACTAAAACCCACGTGGGACAATCCAGTGTGCCCTCCCCGAGGTCAAACTGTGACCTTTGGCACTGTCTCCAGTACAAAATAGATGGTCCCACATATTCAGTCAAGAGCTGAATACATTTGGAATACATTGTGTGTGTGTGTGTGTGTGTGTGTGTGTGTGTGTGTGTGTGGTCAGAAAATAGAGGTGTTGTTAGGTGTGGTGGTGCACACGTGCAGTCCCGGAGCTGGGAAGACGGAGGCAAAGGGGTCAGGAGTCTGAGGCCAGCCTCAGCTGAACATCGAGTTTGAGACCAGCCTGGCCTGTATAAGACCCAAGAAAGAAAGGGGGTGGAGGAGAGGGAAAGAGAGAGAGAGAGAGAGATGAGACAAAAGGGAAGGAAAGGGAGTATAAAGAGGAAGGAATAGAGGGAGGGAGGGAAGGAGGGAGGGAGGAAGGAAATTAAAGATCCAGATGGTGCCAGGCAGTGGTAGTGGCGCACGCCTTTAATCCCAGCACTTGGGAGGCAGAGGCAGGCGGATCTCTGTCTACAGAGTGAGTTCCAGGACAGCCAGGACTCTTACACAGAGAAACCCTGTCTTGAAAAATCAAAAAAAGAAAGAAAAAATCCAGCTGCTTTGAAAGTTGTGATAGGCCCAAAAGACCATAAGAATCTGGCCAGCTGGTTTTTATTACTTCTATGGAAATGCAAAGTGCAGGGAGCAGCAAGACCCTCCTGCCAAGGAGCAGATATAAAAACTGGAACCATTGCGATTCAGCTAACCCCACAGAAATAGACAGACTATACTAGAAGCTGGGCTTGTATAACAGGATGCTGGTCAGTGGCAGCAAGTCAGGCTTCATGAAGCATCAGACAGAACTTGGTTTGTTGACTCCAGCTAGGCGCCAGGCAACAATAGATCAGAAATTCCCAGCTGACCTCCGCCAAAGTCTCAATTCTCCTGTAGTATTCGGTTATAAAGAAATTTCAGGGTGAAGTGACTGGGAAACACACAGGCCTCCTGTCAGTCCTCCATGTGGACGGAAAAGCTGAATCCCCACTTAAATCATATTACAAAGTAATCAATGTATAAAACAACATTATGAAAATATTTGGAGAGATACAAGAGATAGTCTTGTGAGACATCCACCAGAGAAGCCCACTCAGACACAGGTGCAAGCCTACAGAAAGGACTCATTAGCCAGCTGGGGACAATACTGAATGTTTTCAGGACCTGAGTGCAGTCTTGAACCATTCTCAGAGTGGGCTTTTAAGCATGCACACACACACACACACACACACACACACACACACACACACACACACGCGCGCGCGCGCGCGCGCTGAAAAAACTGCATCCTGGGTTGGCACACCTTAATTAGCCGTAGCAGTTAGCCCGAAGTGGAGCTACAAGCGTCAAACTGCAAGGCTGGCACATTCAGGGACTTTCCTAGAGCTACAGGATTTGAGGGGTTAGGTCTTTGATCTTGTTCTGACAGGTGCTGCTGCCTACACGCTGGATTCCAAGGCCTGCGTGGCACGTCCATCATGGCATCAGTTGTGCTAAGGTCTAGGGCCTACTAAGTACCATATTATAACGATTTCGTGGTAAGGAATATTTGTAAAGTTGTAACTAAGAATTACAAACTATAAAATAAAAGAATGATAATTTGACTAAATTTAAACAAATCAAATTAAATCAATCAACCAGTGCTTAAGAGCACATATTGCCCTTGCAGGGGACCCTGGTTTGGTTCCTAGTACTCACATCATGTAGTTCACAACCAATTATAACTCCAGGTCCATGGGATCAGATACCATCTTCTGGCTTCCCCGGGCACTGCACTCATGTGTACAAACCCACACACAGACACGTACTTATACACAAAATTCAAAATAAAACCTTTTTTATTTAGTAGTAGTAGTAGTAGTAGTAGTAGTTCTTTTTCGAGACAGGGTTTCTTTGTGTAGCCCTGGCTGTCCTGGAACTCACTCTGTAGACCAGGCTAGCCTCAAACTTAAAGATCCATCTCCTTCTGCCTCCCAAGTGCTGGGATTAAAGGCATGTGCCACCATCACCAGGCCAAAATAAAACCGTTCCTTAAAAAAGAACTGCTCATTTAAAAACAATCATGAAGACAAAAAAAATCAGTCATAAGTGAAAGGAAGATACATGAGTGATCACTCTCTGGGAAAATGTGCAGAACTCCCAAGCCTCGATGAGGAAAATAAATTACCGAGAGAAAAATACTTAAAAGTTTTGACAGCCACTTCATGAAGGGGGAAATACAAACGTTCAAGAAATACAGTAGGACTTTTTGTGACTTGTTTTGCTTCATTGCAGTGTTGTGGGTGGAATCTTGGGGTGGGTGGGGCAGTCCAGCACAGATAGGGAGGCCAGGATGAGCTGGCATTTCTCTGCACATCCAGGCCTGGTGTCACTTTCCAGGAGCGGCCCGTGTAGCTCTGCCAGAGATAAGCTGGGTTCTGTCTTCAGAGCCCTGCACACCAGTGGCTAAGGACCCCTCTTGCCAGATTCATACCCACTACAGTCCAAGGCGTTCCTGAGTGTGCTCAGGGGAAGTGTACTAGTCACATTGGCATTGCATGCCCTGTCCACTCTCCATCCCTATTTTTGGCATCCTCAAACTCCAAAACCATGGGTTAAGGTATAGAACTCATTACAATAAAGGTCTGCCAAAGGCCAGGGTTCAACACACCACCCAGCAGGGGCCAAGGAGGTACTCATGGGTCTGAGGGATTCCGATAGGATATGTTGCGTATGTGGATGTCTAGAAGGAATGACAGATGTGCCCTAATGATGTGTGTGAATTTATATAGCAGCAGATGACAATAACTGAATAAAATAGAGTTTCCTTTCAAAAGCTAGCGGAAATACCAGTATTTCAAATCACTTATTATTTCATCAAGAATGTCATGGGTACAAATTACAATTTGTCCATGGATATATCCACATATATGCATGGGATTGTGTGTGTGTGTGTGTGTGTGTGTGTGTGTGTGTGTGTGTGTGTGTTGCTGGGAATCAAACCCAGGACTCTGCACATGTTAAGCATATGTTCTACCACTGAGTGTAGGGCGGAGAAAGGAAACAACCTAAAAGTTGATCATTAGGAAGCTAGCTACACCAAATTATCCATATTACTTTCATATTACGGATTACATTCAAAAGAGCTCGTAGGCCTTCTGATCCTGGCACAAAAAGATGGATAAGATGTGTAGTTGAGGAGCTGGAGAGATGGCTCCGTGGTTAAGAGCGCTTGTTACTCTTTCAGAGGACCTGGGTTTTATTCCCAGCACCTACATGGCAGCTCACCACCTATAACTACAGTTCCGGGGGTCCAATGCCCTCGTCTAACCTCCGTGGGCACCAGGCACACACATGGTGCACAGACACATATAAGCGAGAAAAACAGTCATACATGAAAAGTAAAAAAAAAAAAAAAGTCTTTTTTAAAAGCACAATAAGCATTTAAAATGATGTATTTACCACAGTGGGAAAAGCCTGGAGGGCACTGCCCACGTTTTGGGTAAACAAAGATAGGTGTTTATACACATGTGCTTGCCCAAACAGAGCCTATAACTGGAAGGATCCATAAGAAACCGAACTGTGGCTGTTTTTATGAAAGAGAACTGAGAAATCCAGAAAAGAAAACACACACCTTGCAATGTCTGAATGTTACAAGTGTATTTATGAATGTTCTAGATTGACCAAATATTGACATTTCCAAAAATGGGATTTGGAATGAACAGTGGCTATGAATATGTGCTCTATATAATACACACTATCAGGCTTCAGGTGACCGTTGTTGGCTCCCAGCATCTGGGGTATCAACATTCGAGAGTGACCATATAGGCAGAAGGCAAGAATGATGGCAGGGAAGTGTGGCTGTGAGGAAAAGTTGGTGCTGTAGAGGGCAGACCTGAGGCTCCGCCTGTGCGGGGGAGAGAGACTCAAAAACGGGAACTGTTTTCTAAATAAACACACAAAGGCTTTGGCACCTCCTTGTTCTTTTTAAAGCAGTATGCGGAGAGCCAGGTAATCAGAGGGTCTCAGAGCTCAGCGCTAAAAATGCACTGAGAATTCCTGACATTCAGAGGGAGCTGGCCGGAGTGTGCATCTCCTGGCACTGGAGATGAAACCAGCCTGGGCTGCTTGGGAGAAGGAAGAAGTAAGAAGAAGGAGGAGAAAGGGGGAGGAGGGGGAGAGGAAAGGGGGAGAAGGGGGGAGGTAGGGAAAGGGAAGGAGGAGAGAAAACGAAAAGAAGAAAAGAAACTGATCAACTACTTTTTGGCAATAAATACATGTTCACAGAGAAGGGATATGAATTTTAGAACGGGTCAGGTGTCATTTGGCCACAAGTTTTTCTAAAGTGAGAAATCAAATCAAGCAATTGCTTTTTTAGTTAAAAAAAAGAAAGAAAAGAAAGCCATGAAATGAGAATCGACCACTGCTCTGGTGCCCCTTAAAAACTGCCTGTGATGGGCAAGCCCCCAAAGGATGCTTCAGAAGTGATGGGTGCCTCAACAGCATCGTGGGGATGTGGCTCAGGTTCCCAAGGGGCCACCCTGAAGGAGAGACCCACTTAGAAGTATGATTTCTGTTTCCTTGGGGAGAAGCGACCCTCCTACGGGGCGGCTCTGGGGCGAGCAGGGGCACAGACCGCTCAGCTCTTTTTGCGCAGCTGGTTGTACTGTGCGCGACCCAGGATGGGCTCCATGACGCTGGGCCGGAAGAAGCTGTCGCTGACTCGGCGTGCAGGCTTCTCCCGGGGCATGGCCAGGAATCCGGGACGGCCCGAAGTCTCCGCCTTGTCTTCCAGACCGGGACAGGAGGGCATGCTGAGCCCCCGCGCGCTGCGCAAGCCGCGGGGCTGGCCGGGACGCTGCGCGGACTCGGGACTGGCGGGCCGCGCTCCGGACCCCTTGCGCTCGGCCTCTGCAGGCAGGTTATCGATGTCTCTGAATTCGCTCTCCGGCTCCATCAGGGACAGCCTGGGAAGCTGATAGCCGGACACTCTTGTTAGGGAATCCCTCTGCTAGGAGTCACGGCCCTTTCTATGGCGTTTAGCCTAGTTCCCCCGGGGGGCGGCCATCACAAGGGCACAGACTGGGGTGTAGGCTACCAGGATGGGGGCATCCGGGAGACCCCTGAGGTTCTAAGGACTCTGGTCGCCTCTGGTGGTGGGAGGAGTCCCCCTCCTTGAAGCATGCCACCCCTCCCAGTTTCAATGATTAACCTTTCCCCTGGCCAACTCTAGGGGCACCTCCTGTTTCATCAAGTTCTCCCTCAGCCTGCTCAACTTGTAACTTCCTTTGGAGAGGGTCTCAGGGATTCCCAAAAAGATGGCATGAGTCTTGGCTTTTTTTCGCCCTACTGTCCCTGGAAGGCACAGCCTATCGCTCAAGGTGCCCTGAAAGTTTATTGCAAGCCCTTCCTCTAGGAGCTGAAGGGGGAGGGCTGAGCCACTAGGGACTCATGAACCAATGACTCCGTCATCAAATGGGAGGCACAATGTAGGGGAGAGGTCTGAGGCCAGGGCTGGGAACATCTGTACTCTGGGCGGGGAAAGATCAGGGTGTAGGAAGAAGGTTTTGAGTACTGGAGATTGGAGAAGGGTCTCCATGGGCAGGAAAACAAGGGGGCGGGGTGGGGGTGGGGTGGGGTCCTAACACCTCCTTCAGTCAAATCTACCCTGGGAGAAGGTGGCCCTGGGGTGGGACTCACCGGCACATAGTGTACCACGGTGTCTACCACGTTATCAGTGACACCCTTCAGGGCGTCGGAGAGGGACATGGCCCTCCCTTTGGTGGAGGAGGCAGCCTGGGCTGGGGTGAGGTGCAGGATCCTTCCCACGGTGCCCAGCACGGCCGCAGGTGCCCACGTCACTGCTGAGATGGTGCTCCGGAGAGTCTTCTGCATGGTGTGTACCACGCCACCCAGCAGGCCTCTCGGGGTGGGCAGGGCTGTCACCTGTGGGCCAGAGAACCGTTAGCCCCTGCCCTGCATCCGCTCCTCTGACCCTTTCCCTAACCACCAGAGCTGGAGGGGAAACAGGACACAAAATAGAGAGGGAGGGAGGGGGGAGGGGGGAGGGGGAAGAAGGGAGATCTGGGGAGAGAGAAAACAACAACAACAACAATAAATAAATAAACAAAAACTAACTAGGCCTGGGTCTGTCCCTAGCTGTGGGTAGTGTGGCCTTGGGCAAGTCATTTCTTCTCTCTGAACCCCAGTTTCTTCATCTGCAAAATGGAGCAGCAATCCCCACCCTGCCTCCTTTTATGGGTGTCGTGGAGCCCGCTGAGTGACACGGCGATCCTTAGTTGGCTGTGAATTTGGGGGTGACTGGGGACAGCGTTCCCAGTTTGTTTGTTTGTTTTTTTGAGACAGGGTTTCTCTGTGTAGTTTTAGAGCCTGTCCTGGGACTAGGCTCTGTAGACCAGGCTGGACTCGAAATCACTGAGGTCCGCCTGCCTCTGCCTCCTGAGTGCTGGGATTAAAGGTGTGCGCCACCACCGCCCGGCTGGCACAGCGTTCTTTACTCTACCCGGCTCCTCTGCTTCTCACCCCCACCCGCGGGCTGCGAGGCCTTAGGCTCTCGCGAGCTTCGTCACCTCTCTGAGCATGCTCTCTTCAGCCTCTGATCCCTCCTCTTCCTCCTCATCGTCCGTCTCCTCCCCCTCCGTGTCGGTCTGGTCCTCATGGCTTTCATCCTGGGAGGCGGCTAAGTTGTGCAGCCAGGGCACGCGTACCTCACTCTGCCGTCGGGACACCACCTGCATGGCCGCCGATGCACCCCACTGGGCCAGGCTGCTCTGAGGGAGGATGGCAGCAGACAGATGGCTCAGTGGACCCCTCTAGGCTGTAAGGCCCTTATCACAGGAGCAGGGGCAGCGGTGGAGAAGGAGGGCCTACCCCACAGGGTTTGGGGGTTGTTTGTTTTTTTTTT